GAATGGAGGGGTGGAGGGGTGGAGGTGTGGAGGGGCGGAGGGGCGGCTGTCAGAACGCCTCTGCTGGCAAAGTGCTGGACAGGGGCTTGCCCGGAGCCTCTCTTTTCTTGAGTGGATCAGGAGAAGCTGGCCCCGCAGCCCTGGGCTTGACTACCTGTCCCCACCGCTGCCCACTCAGCCACACCACTGCCTTGCTGCACACTCAGCCACCATTTTGTGATGGGGAGGCAGGCACGATGCGGGGTCCGGCCTGAGAGGTCAGAGGCCTTGCAGATGGGCTGTGGGTGTTCTCAGGAGCAAGGGGAAAAGCAGGGGCAGAAGGGCTCAGAGCCACAGCCCTGGCCTTCCCTGCAGACAGGTGAGCTCGGCTCAGCACCCAGGCTAGGCTTTCGGGAGCACTCTCCTCCCAGCAAGCCGTAGTGACCAGCTGTAGTGACTTGGCTGTAGGCCAGCTCTCACTCCAAGGCCACCCTAGTTTCAGCACATAGCATCTCTGGGTACTAGGCTCAGATTGCCCTGCACTAAACTCGAGACTCCGTCTGGGGCTTTCCCTAACCCAGGGGCTGGGCTAGGCCAGGCACCCGGGCCCCTCCAGCCACGCCCTGGCCCTCCCATCCGTGGCCAGGCGTCCTCAGGGTATGCCTGCTGAGCGGGGCTACCCGCTCTCTCCAAAGCCCCTTCCACCCTACACCGGCCACCTGGCACCCTCTCTTGTAGGAAAGGCTCCCTCTGTCTTTTAGTTTCAGCTCTCAGTCCCTCGAATAAAAGCCTCCATGGCCTGGGACATGTCCACATGAAGGGACATATGAAGCATCTCTGTCCCTATGGCATGGGGGACATCCAGGACCTTTGGGGGTGTTCAGAGACAGAGACAAAAACCAGGGAGCTGTGCCCATGGTCCACGGTACAGCCTTGGGCAGTTCCCCTTGCCTGAGCCTCAGTTTCCCCACCTCTGATATGGGGGAAAGGTTGGCCTCTCACGATTAAGGTGAGCTTGTGTCCCTCCTTGCTCAGGAGGCACCTGTCCAAAGCCAGAGAGGGTGGCGTCCTGGTTTAGGGGACCTAGGGGTTGGGGCAGGCCCTGGCTTTGGCATGGAGGCTCCAGGCAAATTTTGGGGAACCTGCCTTAGGCTGGAGCCTGCCCTGGAAACCATCACCGTGGTGGTGCCCCAGCTTGTCCCCAGGGCCCCTGTTGCCAGGCTGCAGTATCGGGCTGTGCTGGAAAGAGCAGGCCCTGGGGAGGGTCCTTCAGCCCTAAGCAGGCATTCAGGTACTCTCTCCAACTGGCAAAGGCAGAAAAGCTTGCAGCTCTCTGGGGCTCAATCTCCCCACCCCAAACCCAGGGGACGGTGAGCCAAGCTGTGTGAAAAGGACAGGGGGAGGGGTGGGGTGTCCTCAGGTCCTTGGGAATTCCCAGTAACCTCCTCTTACTGACACCATCCCTTATATTCAGAACCAAGGACCCGAGAAGGTGGCTCCACACTCCAAGCCACACAGCAGCACCAGGACTCAGACTCCTGGGAGGGAGCTGGTCTGGGGTTCCCTGTACTGGGAACAGTGGAGGGTGTGGCATGGAGTCCGGAAGGGCAAGGTTAAGCCGCCACCAGAGGGAAGCATGCTAAGAATGTGCATGAGGAGTTGATTCGGGGACCCCGGGAGCTCCTGGGAAGAATGGGCTTTAGTGAAGGGAGGCCCTGGATCCAAAGGAAAGGGCTGGAGTGGTACTCAGAGGGACAGGGGCACCCCAAGGAGGCAGAGGCAGCTGGCCTTCCCTAGGGGAGGGGGCAGAGACCAGGAGCCCTGAGGGCCCTGCGGGGGGCGTGCACCCGGGTCCGGGGAGTGTGTGTGTGGTGGGGGGGGGCGGGGGTAGAGGGTGCTCACCCGGCGCTTGCACAGGTGCTCCACGACGCGCTCCGGCGAGGTGCCCAGCACGTGCTGGCGGGAGCGCAGCAGCGCGCACACGAAGCCATCGCGCAGGCTGACGAAGCGCGCCTCCACGTAAAAGGCGCGGTCGTCCCAGCCCAGCAGGCGGGTGCGCACCTCGAAGGGCTCGAACAAGCGCAGCGAGCGGCGATAGCGCGCACACGAGGCGGCCAGCACGGCTTGGGCCCCGAGCGCGCGCAGCGCCCCCAGGACCCCGCAGCGGGCCAGGTGCGCCGCGCGCGCCACGTCGGCCTCGCGCAAGTAGCGCGCGTTGTTCATGTGCAGCAGCAGGTCCAGGTCCGAGGGCAGCACGCGGCCCGCGTAGCGTTGCTCGGCCAGCAGGTCCCGGACGCGCGGCTGCAGCAGGCGCGCGCGCAGCACGGCGCACGGCACGCGCACCAGGTACCAACCGTCCAGCAGCGCGAAGTAGGCGAGCGCCACGACCAGCGACGCCACAAGCAGCCCCAGCATCTCGGCGGCGGGCGCGGGGCGCGGGGTGCGGCGGCGGAGGCCACGGCCCTGGTCTCGGCGGTGCCGGTGCCCGCACCCGGCCTGC